CGGGGGGTAGTGCTCGTGGTGGTGGTCGGATGGCTGGGGGAAGAGCTCATGGTGGTAAATTGATGGCTGGGGGTGTTGGATAAAATTGAACAATGATATGGAAGGGCGAGTTTTGGATGGGACGCTTTTTCCCGCAGTGCAAAGGCGTGGCAGTTGCATTCTGAGCAAGTGTCCACTCGAAACGCCGACATAGGGCAGGACGGATGACATTCCAAAAGTGTTTTGTTGAAACGCATATTTTGACGTGACTATGGGCCAATAGATGGGAGCGTACAAGCAAAGTGAAATATGTAGTGTTAATACTCAAGTCACATTTCCAGAATATATATTTACTGTTATATTAATGCAAATGGTCATATAAGACCTAAGTAGCAATCGCTCATTTTAGGTTGCTAGTACATCCGTCATTACCGTAACCGGTATAAGAACTTACGATACTCCAACACAGATCTCGATACCTAGTTGACTAAATCATGGTCGTACAGAATCTTGCTGGTTTATGATTGAGGATTGCAATCCTGATTAACCTTCTTAACAACACTCGTACTCTCGCTCGTACTCTGATGCTATGAAGTTGTGCCAGTCTGTCTGTCCTCTAAACATGTGACGTCCCTCCTGCTCAATTTCTTTTCAGCTCTGAACCCAATAACCCAACCACGTATTCTATCCAATCAAAGCGATTACTTTCTGAGTGGCACCCAATCAATGCAATCGACCGCATTCGTAGAAATTTCTGCGGCTCGTACCTCGCTCGCTATTTTTCTTTCACCTTTTTTGTCTCCAATGCCAATGAGTTTACGGCATGGTAAATTGAGTTTGGATTTTCATTTGTTTACTGTTAAGTCAATTCCTCCGCGAGGGCCGATACTAGAACCACATGTTGTGGAACCGCTTTTTTAGTTTACGGCATGGCATCTAAATGTGTGTCTCAACCCTTTACTATATACAGTATTGGTGTTGCACAAGTGCAGTGCCCAAATTGATGTACTACTTTGTATTGTGGGTTCTAACGTTACTCGAAATTTCCATGTTCGATTGGTTGAAGGGCAGTTTCAGAACCGATTAACCCCTCTGTAAAAGTATAATTTATATATATATATATATACCGCACTGCCATCGAGAGCAATCACGTGCGCACATATACCCCGAGTGCAACCGTACTCGATTGTTGTTGCCTCCTGTCTGCTCATCGCGACTGTGTTACCCGGTACACATTCTAGCTTTGATTTGATACCTCATGTTCCCGAAAAGTCAAAGTAGTTAATGCGTCATGACCCCTAAACTTTATGACCTTATTTTTCAAATCAGAAAAATCTTACCGTGCGCAGTCGACTGTGATTGTATTTTTGTAAGCTTAAGACTGTATGCTCGTGTGACCCAACACATACCATTCCTTACGCCAAGTCAATGGAAATATTGTCAAAATTCAAGTTCAATGTGGTACCATACAGTGTATCAGTGTATTGTATGTTGGTGCTTGTGTGGGGAGGGGAATTGGGGTTTGCACAACGAGGGAACCCAGCAAACCTACATGTATTCCCAATGTAACTATTACACCACTACAAATAGCCAAGCCAGGGAAAATGTCACGTGCTCCCCAGGCGTAATACTTCGAGTAACGTAGTACAGTAAACCAAGACGATATGCCAAGTCGATTCGAAATTGGAGTGTTCAATTGTGAATGAGCAGCACCAAATCGGCAGACAATCTATCGACCAATCAAAACCCAGAACAATCAAGTGGCCAATCAAAACCACTCTTCGACCAATTCAAATCCCCAGTTACAGTAGTTATTGTGCTTTTCACATATTTTGGCTAATCTGGGTATAAGTACCCGCTTTTAACCAGTGGGTGACGAAGTTTTAGATTAATTCAACTTAGTTTTAGCTAATCGGAAGTACCTTTGATTGGATGAGCAAGAGCTGTTCCTGCAGCATATGTTGCTAACCTGAAGCGTTTGCCCATTTCATTTCGGCAAACGCGGGGGTTTACAGAGTGGATTAACTAATACACGCGAGTGTGATTCTTGACTATGCTCGATAAAGGTTGATGTTGAGTACTTCTTGCTCGACTTTTCGTGCCAACGAGTTGCTAACAAGCTGGCTGCAAAGCTCGTGTGAGCTGGTGCACTGCGAGCTTACCCCAGTAGGTCATTACTCTGCATGACTGCTTGGCCACGGGAGTTAATAAAACGAAGTAGTTTTAGTAAAACAACGCAAGTTTTAGATCAGCCAATGACAGAACGGTGGGGAAGCTTACTTTTACGTCGAGTGCAACTTCAGTTTAGGTTAAACTTTGGATGGTTTTAGGAGCTAAAACAACGAGCAAAATATGTGAAAAGCACAATAATACTGGAGGATCTTAACCTGCTCGGATGGGATGAGTGAGGGCGAAGAATCGATCGATATATTTGGCGAATCAGTACAAAAGTTCAAATCATGGGTGAAAAGACAATACTTAACGTTTGTTATTCATTAATATACCACGCGAATCCGATCTACATGTAGTAACTTAGTCGAATTTGTAGCCTGGCAAGGCATCCTTGAGCCCAAGCGAGCACACTTGGGCATCGTAGGATTCGGTGTGGGTGGCCATCTGGGCAATGGAGCAGCATGAGCAGCAGAACGTGAAGAATCAGTCTTCCACAAACGTGCCGGGGATGTCGAATGCTTTTCGCACTCGCATACGGATCACGACGAATGCGGCAATGAGCAGCACTGGAGCACCATGGTGATGTAAAAGTACGTGAAACTGATGCCGATGGTGTATCGGGTCATGGTGGGGCTGGCGGTCACCTGGAGCAAGTACATGAGCAAGTAGACCGCGTAGACTACGCCGAACGCGCCAATACGGTTGTGTACGAGTACATGCCGATGCGGTGCAGAGTCTGCGCGAGGGACACGCACGGACAGCACGACGCGAGGAGGCAGTTGGGCACGAAATCCGTGAAGCATCCAAAGATGTCGGCCTTCCACTTGCCCACGACCACGCCGTGCTGGTCGAAGGTGCTGCCAGTCATGGGGACAGCGGCGACGTCCACAGCCGCAGGTGCTTTATCGGCAGCGATAAAGTCCGTAGTTGCGTGGGTCTTGGTGGGGGTTGTGCTCATGGTGTCGTAAAATGACGAATGGACTGATTGAATCTCCCTCAGCTGCTGCATACGTATGTACGTACTGTAGGGTAGTTAGTTCATTCACATCAGGTTCGATGCGGTTTCAAATACGGGATACAATTGGGCAGTTGAATTTTCATGGAGCATGTGCAGAACGAAATGGCCACAACGTTACCGTCACTGTCGTTCAATCGTACGGCAGTAGTGGAACCTAACTACAGTATAGCCCCCAAAATCTGAGCTGACCTAGCTATGCTGTGCCCCACTCAGCTACTAGGGCATGACTACGCCGCCGTAGTTCAAGCGCCTTTTCGACGCTCTTGAATGAATGTGCGAAGATCCGAGGACGTGAGTCTCATATATGAGTAGAAAAAAGCTTGTCGGAACAAGCTCGAACAAGGATAGGTCAAGCGTCGTTCGGTTGACATTGAAGCATTCCCTCGCTGCACAGTAGTACTGTTTTATCGTAAACAATTTTACAAGTGGTAGCCCTGTAACCTCAGATCCCCAGACCCCTTGTGCTTCGGTACACGATGCTATTCCCGGGTTAAGTTGCATCACCAGTGGTTAGCTATCGCTAACCACTGAGATGCACTTAACCCCTAGCTGAAGTGCGTTGTGTTGTGATTATACTTGATTTGACTATGTGCATGGAAGAACTTGGGTTTTGTATGCCAGCAGGCCCAAATCATTACGCAATATATAAATAGCAGTACTACTGTTGCAAACGAGGGAATTGGTCGTTTAACATTGTACGCCAACCATCCATCATCCAAACGAATAATGGTGTACTGTACAACATTGAAGTTGATTCTGTTGTGGGCGTTCCAACTCATGGTGACAAAATTACAATTATTATGTCTGAATGTTTGCCTCAACCTGGTCGTTGTATTGTACGATTGTGGAGCATTGGACGATGCAGCGTCGTTAGGAGGACGCTGGTCCACTTCCACTTCGTCATCGACAACATCCACGGCGACCGCAGTGGGGTTGAAAGCGTGGCTACAATGGACATCTGTGGTCGAATTATGTACTGCTTCATACACAAGAGCGTCCGAGCTGTCGTTGACGGACAGAGCCAGTCAGCGCGACGGTGGCCTCAATATATTCCTACATCCATGCATCCCATCGATGGTTTGATCTTGGCAGCGGCAGAGCCACCAGACATTGAGCTACATGGGGTGACATTCCACATGCGTGATATATTGTACCCCTCCATATAAGAGGTGTAGCGGGATCTTGAAAGCCCATTTGCCAAGGCACTGCTGCATTATCAGTTGTTCTTATGGAGAAGCGCCGAGTAGCTAAATCTATAATGGAAAATTGCTGAAAGCATCAAAGCAAGAAACCAATTTTAAACGTTAAGTACTGAACTTCTGGTGAAATCGAGTGTATATTCCACCAGCCGCTTGAGGATACTGTGACTCTGTCCTCAAGTGGGCAGTACAGTATTTATGATCACACACTCATGATGCATAACATACCGAGGGATGTGTCGAGTATTCAGGCACTTTATAATAAGGACAGCTGAAAGACGTACGATGTGGGGCGTATATCAACGACACATCGTGAATGTATGGCGTGACCATGAGTCGAACGATTGCAGTGTTAACACTGTTAGTCAACCCTGCCCCGACGATTCGATGCCAGGTGCATACCTATGAGAACCTTTTGTAGTGGGCGACTCGTATACGACGTTGACCCGTAAGTACTGTATATTTCCTTTCGCCTAAACCCGCCCCCCACACGATGCAAATGGGCGTGAACCGAATGGGATCCGAAATACTATTCCTTTCACCTGTGGCCAATGGCGGGTTTAGCGAGGTTGCACTTGGCGTGGTTTCTCGTCGACGTTGAACGACTCAGCTTTGCCTCCGTTGGACATGGTGGAAGCAATTTGTCTAGTTGCTGCGAAGTCAGCGATTGGATTTGTCTCACGCATGGTTAGGGCTCATTCGTGGCTACAACCTCATTTGTCTTGTCAACACTGTCAGTCCACCCAGGACATACGAGGTAGAGCGGCCGTCATTGAGAGTGTATGGCGACAGTTCGTGGAAGGCATTTATACATCTAGTGCGATTATAGTATTTCTCCAACGACGACTCCTGGTACTACCAAACTGAATCGCCAAGACACATCGTATATTTTGTTAAGCGTATCGAATCTAAAATCTGAACAACTTGTAATTTGACGTACGGTCCACGAATCTAGCGTTCTCATAGCGATGGTCACATGGAATGCTAGCATGGTCATTTATAAACATGCTCATGTTTACTGGTACACTACAAGTCCGAGCGGAAGGCAGGCAGCTTGATGAACGTCGATGACCAGACGGGAGGATAGTACAATATCAACGAGTTACTGATGTACACTTTCAAGAGCGCCGTGGCGACTGGTTGAACGTAACGGCAGAGTAACTGTCAGGGCCAGGAACAATGTTTATGAGGATTGGTGGAAATTGTTGTGATCGTGGATTTGCTGGATTATTGACCTTGTAGCCAATCATCAATCGACTCAAGACTCGTTTCCAACTGCACCTTGCATTTAAGAAAATCTATCATGTTCTATACTTCGAAGTAGCAACTTTCATACTGGCAGTCGAGCCTCCCTCGAGTAGTCTTTATGTAAGTCCCTCGTGTATCTCCATCGACTGCCACGACGACAAATATATGGACGACTAGTGTTGATCTACTGTACATGTACTATAGTACTCTCCATTGTACAGTACAAGGATACCATTACAGAGGTTCGCACAGATCAATTTCCAAGCGGATTAGAGTTTCGTACAGGAATTTGGCAACTGCACTGGTACTAGCACCAATACTGTACTAGTATAAAGCAACAAGGTGTTGAGATGTACATTTAGATGCAATGAACTTCATTATTGGCACTGAGGGCGAGGAATGTGGAAGGAAAACAACGAAGAAATGCAGCCTGTTGTTGATCTTCAAGAGCGAGTGCAGGTCTGTAGAAGCGGCTCGGAATTGCTCTGATTGGACGTCATTCAGATTGAAACGTTTTGATTGGATAGAATACGTGGCGGATTGTTGGAAGTTTAGGTTCAGAATTGTAATGAAATTCAACAGGAGGGATGACATGTCCTTGCACGACAGACAGCCTCTCAACATCAACGCATATATACTACGTAGTAATAGTTTTGGTAAGATACATCGAGGTAGTTTACAAGGATGGCAATCCTCTTCAATCATACCGGTACACGAGCAAGAATACAAATGAAAATGACTTGGTTTTTGAACGCTGTTTTGAGCTATATGTGTTGTAGGGATATCGTTTGGTCTGGTAATGGTATAAATGCAACAACCAGCGATTGTTATTTCGTAGGTGTTATATGACTCGGTGGTATAAATGCACAGTATACTGGTATAAGTACTTATTTGACCATTTCTTTGACCAGTATTCACTTCAAAATATGTGCTTCCGCCCACTATCGGAATGTCATCCGTCCTGACTTTGCCATTTTGGCTATATCGGCGTTAGTTGCTGTGAATCGTCACGCCTTTGCACTGCAGGAAACAGCGTCCCATCCAAAACTCGCCCTTCCATATCATTGTTCAATTTTATCCAACACCCCCAGCCATCAATTTACCACCATGAGCTCTTCCCCCAGCC